ATTGTGTCAGAGTTCTGTTTAAGTGACCTCTGGATATAGATCGTCTGTCTTTTTCATCGTCAGACTTTTTACATATAGTGATCATCTCTTCTATGCATTATATTGAGCCTGTTAGTGTGGTGAAGCATACTGTTATCTATTGTGATTGAGATAGATCTATATTGACAGAGAGAGTGTGGTGAGAGAGAGATAGAGTGAGAGAGAGTGAGAGAGAGAGATATAGAGAGACAGATGTTCAGGCAGACTGTGTAGAGTGTGTGTGAGTGAGTGTCAAGAGAGAGAAAGAGAGAGAGAGAGAGAGAGAGGGAGAGAGAGAGAGAGAGAGAGAGAGAGAGAGAGAGAGAGAGAGAGAGAGAGAGAGAGAGAGGAAGACATAAGAAGAGAGGAGAGCATAGAGGACACAGAAAGTTCAAACACTGAATGAATGTTTGAAAAAAGGGAGAGCGAGAGGGGGGGAGGGAGAAAGAGACGAGAGAGAGAGAGAGAGAGAGAGAGAGAGAGAGAGAGAGAGAGAGAGAGAGAGAGAGAGAGACAGACAGACAGACAGACAGACAGACAGACAGACAGACAGACAGACAGACAGACAGACAGACAGACAGACAGACAGAGCGGCAGAGAGAGAGGACATAGGGACACCGGAGAATGAGTAGTTTTGCTAAAAATTAAACCGATTATAATTATGCTTTTAATTATACTGTGATAATTACTTTTTCAGATCTATAGTGACGAAGTAATGTGTATCTGTGTTTATTTTTGTTTAGAATGTAGATGACTGTACATTGTGATGCTTGTTCGTTTTTATATATATGACGTTCATCTTATATCTGATTTTGCGAACATTGCTGATTGATTCAATAAACTCCATGGTTGAAAGCAAATACCTCAAAGTTATTTATGTTCACAATTCTAAGAAACTCCGTCCAACAGACGGATAGAATTCGAAGTCGTGCTTTTCGAGACTCACGTGGAGATGTCTAGATAGACAGTTGTGGAATGAAATCTGATCTGTACCACAAAGATTGGGGGGGGGGGGGGGGGGAGGGATAGATGACTATACATTATGATGCTTGATGTATGTTAACTTCCTAACAAGTCTCTTACAGTTTATGGCCGAAGGAGGCGGGGAGTTGCCAAGATAATATATGCAATATAATTCACAGGCCTCTTTCTTTGTTTAAGTGTTTTAAGGCCTAGTAATAGTGACCCAGTGAACTAACTACAGACGGCACAACATTTTCTCATGACATGACAGGAGGGGTGTTGATCCCCGAGCTTCTCCGTGGCAGTGATTACCGCGCATGTGTTTAGTAAAGGTTTCCGCGCCCCACATCGTGCGATATGCGAAACAATGCACTGTTGTTATGGAGCGCCGCCACGAGTGACACCTTTCTGTTACTGTAAACCCTCTCTGGTAATAGGCATGATTGCATAACATTTTGGGGGTTTCAGTTAGGGGGGCATTTGATTTTTTTTTTTTAAACAAAATCAAAATCAGTCTTTTCCTGATGTTTGTTCAGGTAGATCTATATTATCACATGCCGTTAAACTTAGAAATGACGCATCTTTCTGATTGGCTGCTTATTTTAGTAATGTGATGTCATCACTTCCTGGGATACCCAAACATGGAACGACGTGTTTGCGGTAACATTTCGGATTTTCTAGATCTAGATCTAGAATCTAGATCTAGATCTAGATTCTAGATTAGATCTAGATCTAGATCTAGATTCTAGATCTAGATCTATTAGGCCTACCTGGACATGATGGAAGACCGCACGAAAATTGCCGTAAAGACGCAGGAGGACTAGATAATATCTAGATTAGATCTAGATCTAGATATCTAAATTTAGATCTACCACCCCCCCCCCTCCTGCATTTTTAATCACTAATACATTTTTTAAAATAAACTACAACTTCAAAGTCAAAGGAACTCTACAAATTAGGCCTATAATTTATGGAACTGTTGGTCAGTCGGGAGGAGGAAAAGAGAAAAAAAAAACTGTCCGGGACCGGAATCGAACCCCTCCAAAAGTCATTGCTCGACATCAAACGCAGACGCGCTATCAAATCAACTATCAGAAATTCCGAGAACATTATGTAGATTAAGCATAATATACATAGATACTTCCATCTTTGGTGCCATGCGGTTGTCTATACTTAGATGTAGTCACGTGATCGGAGGGGTATCCTGGTCTGACGTCAAACAAGATGGGCGCCTTACCTAAAAATAGTTTGCATCATTTCTACTTTTAATCGCATGTGATATTATCTACCGGTAAAGGGTTTATACACTTTAAGTCTTGTTGACCTTACTAGAAAGTGTGAAACAACCTAGAGGACTATTCATTTCTATGCTGCTTACTAGATCTACTTACCGTCCTGCTATACATCGTTCCTTCACTGGCAAATAACGGAGAATTTCCAAAACAAGGGCTTCAGGAAACTGATTAATTTTATCTGCTGAGCAGTCTAGATCTAAATCTCCGTTTTCATAGTCAACACTGTGACTGTTAGTGTTAGAGGTCCCCCCTACTCCTGAATCTGACTCTTCCGATAGACAATGAGACGATGCCATAACATGAATGAAATGAAGTTCTTGCCTAGCCTTTGAGTTACGTGAAGGCGTCGTTACGTGAATCAGAGCAGACAGAACAGAACGTGGTCTCGAAAGGATTTGACGTTGACTAAAGTCTAGATGTCTAGAATCTAGTCTAGTGTTGGCTTGGTAACGAGACAGATCTAGAAACCTAAAGCTGAGATTTTCTATAGCTTCAGGTATGAACGTCTATGACAGGCTCATATGAGATCAAATTAATCCAAGCCAAAAGAGCTGAACTCAACACATTATTATTGTCTTCTTCCGCTCACGGGAGTCAGCTGTAAATAATAACAAACAAGAACGACTCTGTCTTCGAGCGTCAGACAACAGAGTTGATGCTCCTGTTTGCTTTGCCAAGTTGACGTTTCAAATGTATTCTTTACTGATACACATTCACAGGGTTTAATTCTAATAAACTAGTATCCAGTATAATTTATTTCTTTCCTACATGTGATTTTTATCTTGGACATATATTTGTTAGTACTTTATTTAATACCCCAGCTTCATTTGTTATTTCAGCACAGGTCTTAAACTGAAACCTTGATAAGTACCAGGCCAAAAATAAAAAAAACGACGATTTGTTTGTGATCTTTGGAAAAAAGGAAATTAGCAGTAGCCCGACGTTTCCTTTTTTATTATCATGTCGTCAACTGTCGCTTACTTTTATGATCCAGAAGTTGGGAATTTCCACTATGGTATGTCATTTGAACACTTTGGTTTCTTACTGTTATTTAATTTATAATTACTATGAGATTGAAATGGCAATCCACTTTTCGAAATAACCAATTATCGATAATCGAGAGTCGGCAACTGATGCATGCACCGGCGAAGAGTGTAGATCTAGTCTACCCACCACCCAAAAATTATTTTTTTTCACGTGAAGCGGTAAGATTGAAATTTGGTGGACCCACCGCTGGGAAGGGCCGGATCTACCTTTGGGTGTCGTGTGGTGCTATGCACTGGTCCACTGTAGATCTACTTCCTTGGGCGGCGGTTTTGCAGATGAAAGTGGCTATTCTCACTCTCACCCGCCCGGAAGTTCTCGCAAGATCAACTCCTCCCCTCTTCTCTCTCTCTCTGTCTC